TCGAGTGCATTATCATCGCCGACCCCAAGCCGGAGGTGTCCTGGACTCACAACGGGTCGCTCATCGTACAAAAGGGCAGATTTAAGGTACCCTTCCGTCTATTGAATCCAATTCTAACTATTTATATTATATACTTTCCGTATGTTTAGTATTCAAAATATATTCCTGTATTTATAGTTGATTTTTGAACTTTTAAAAAATGCAATTTGTATTTAAAGAATTTGATAATTTATATTATAATATAATGAAAAGCATTCATACGAGTGATTTCGCAAAACAAATTAAGTGTTTGGAGGGAAGGGTTAGTGAATGAAAGCCTTGAGACTGACTGACAGACTCTGATCTGTAGAAAGAGTAAAAATAAATTGGATTCAAATCTAAATCATATACTACTGTAAGTGCTTCCAAACTCAGTATTAGCTATAAGTGCTCAACATTTTTCAAATGCTTACATATATTCAAACTTCACTTTCAATAATTAGTGAACACTTATTCACCAAAAATATTCCACTCTATTGACAGCTTTTTTGGTTCATTAAAAACACTTATAAAAAGCCTTTTATTAAGCACTTATCAGTCAGAATATCCGCTTTTCAATATTATATAACTCCACATAAAACACAAACATGTTTATCTAATTAATTTTAAAATTATATACCAAATATTTTGTTGATACACTGTATTTAAGTATAACGATACATTTGCCATTATAAATTTATTTATAAAATTATTCTCTTTAAATATATTTAGTATTTGTAATTCTGATAGTTTAAACATAAACAGAATTTATATATAAATACTGTAATTACTAACTTATTATACTAAGCTTTTTAAATATTTTCTCTGGGTACTTTTATGTAATCTGTGCTAGACTCCAAAGTTAGACCAATTTTTGAAACCCGGCCCGGCCCAAACCCTTAGTGTTCTTCAAACGGGAAGCCCGATCAGGCCCGGCCTCTATGCCGGGAAACCCGTGGGAATCCGAAAAACCCTTAAAATATAAACCTATATAAAATTGCGGTAAGTTTAACATTAAATGAACTTTTATTGCATTAAACATTAAACCTACAGTCATATAATGTTTTAAGGTTTACAAAAAACGTAATAGATCTAATATAAATAATTTATCGACATTTTGGGGGTCGTGTTAAGAGGAAATATAAATACTGTGAGAAAAATATAAGGGGTTTCTAAGGGTTTGGGCTTTTTAAGGGTTTTGATTTCTACGACGGGAAACCCTTTCCCGACCCGGCCCTTAATATTCAAACCCGTTCCCGTCCGAAACCCTTAAGGGTCGGGTCGGACAAGGGTTCCCAACTTCCTATTCTAATCTGAAATCTAAAAATTACAGAATTCTTAAAATGAATTTTTAAAACTCCTGGATATTCTGGATCCTTTTAAAAATAATATAACTTATACTATAAACATTATAATATAATATAAATTTATATATTATATATAAACATTATGTATACAAATTATCGGTAATTAATTGCCATTATTTGGAATTTATGAGTTGTATTTAATAATGTTATAGAATCTAATGAATAGAAATATCTAACTTCAATTAATAAGCTTTATAATCATATTTATCCGTAAATTGTATAATAATTTTAGATTCTATCATATTTAAATAGTTTTAAATAATAACAACAATAATGATAGAATCTGACATCTATTTTTGCTTATCTAGCAATTACTTACTTCCCTAACAAATGTTACAGTAACTTACTTTAACATAAATTGAATCTTAATAAAGGTATACTGATTAATTGTTACTGATTAATTGTGGTATTGTTTTAAAAGCAACATTATTGAGTTTAATTAGTTTATTTTAATAATAATAATAATTATAATACAATATAAATGTTATGTTAAGTTTGTTAATCACAATGACTCTTACGTTAAAAATGTTTTGTTAATTAGTTTATTCATATTAAATAACAAAATCTTAAAAACAAAATCTTAAAATAGTTTTTCTAGAAGAAAATGAATGAAATGTTTGAAATTCTTTGACATTAGTACTAAACTACTGCATTGTTTTTATATTAAAATAAGATCATAATTAAGATCCTTATCAATTGCCTATTCAACACATTTTCAAGTTCTTGTTTGGCATTACTATTACACATATTCTTACGGCATTAGTATAACTCATATTCTCAATAATAACTTATTTATTAGGCTTAAAAACCAACAAAACATTAAACACTCGACAGTCGACACACATATCTATTTAGTTATTTTGGCTGAAACTCAAAATCTCGAAAAGAGATGTAATTTCACAGAATCACGACTCCAATTACGATCTGAAACCGATTTGACACAAAAGTATTCAATAATTATTTATATATATTTATATCATTCGTCACTTGCATTCAAATTAAAAATATCTCTCAAATCAATCAAAACTGGAGATAAATATCAATATTTTCTTTAGTATTTTCTTGTTTTGTGCCCACATTTGTTAAACAACTCTTAAATTAGATTCCAATTGTTTTTTTTGAAAAAATAAAAATATAATCATTTGTTTGGCAAATGTTAGGCCACTCTGGAGAAGAAGGAGAAGGGCTACCACTCTATTATGCAAATAAATGATGTGAATGTGGAGGACGCCGGCAAGTACAAGGTGATCGCCAAGAATGAGCTTGGTGAAAGTAATGCCTCGATTACACTAAATTTTGACGGTAAGTCAACAATAAGATAATTGATGACTCGCTTTTTGACAAATGTGTCCCTAAAATAAACTACTGGTGCAGATGATGAGGCACCGGTGCCCGTGGACGGCGCCAAACCCACGTTCACCGAAAAACCTGTGATAAAACAATCGGACGACTGCTCAAGGATTACGTTTGAGTGCCGATTAGTAGCCGATCCCAACCCATCCATCCAATGGCTGCACTCCGGGAAAGTGGTTAAAGAGGATTCTAGACATAAGTACTCCCTATTGTCCGACAAACACAACCAAATAGCATCTCTTACCATCTCTGATGTCTGCAACGAAGACAGCGGTGAGTATAAGGTCGTGGCCACCAATAAACACGGCGATGGATACGCCACTATTAACTTGAACTTCGATGAGGATAAACCGGATCTACCGGACGGCAAAGCCCCCAGATTTCCAAAGAAGCCCACAATTAGACAAAAAGGAACGACACTTATATTAGAATGCCTTCTGGAAGCGAATCCCTTTCCAGAGATTACATGGTTTCACGGAACCAAAGCCCTGTCTACTGGAGTCCGTCATAAGACCAAAAAAGTAGATACTGGCAAAGATACGTACACATTGTCCCTCGAGATCTCTGACCCAACCACTGATGACGGCGGGAACTATAGGTGCAATGCCGTCAATGAATTGGGCGAATCCAACGCTAATATTGCGCTCAACTTTCAAAGTATTTGCGAAACTTTTATGACTGAATTATTTTTAAAGTAGTAATACAAAGAATACTAAAATAGCGCTTGAAAGGCAAATCTCACAATTAAAAAATAGTTTCGTTTAATTGGCTCAATAAGATACAGTACACCATAGCTTTACCGTAATATTATACCAGATAATAAGTACTATACAGTGCTTTAACTAAATTATTAGGTATCAGTTATTATGCAATTTTTAAGTACTTGGAGCTATTATAATTATGTTTCAGCCTAAATATATTCTTATTATAATTAATAGTTTTTTGTAATTTAAAACTAATGCAAAAATATTGAATCAATTGAATGGATGTGTTAGGCGGTGATGACGAAGACTTGTCGCCAGTATTTGTTCAAAAGCCGCGAATCATTCCAAAGGAAGGAAGCGTTACCCTGGAATGTAGGGTCAAGTCGACCACCAAAATCACTACCGTTTGGTATAAGGGGTCGACTGTTGTCAAAGAGTCGACAAGAGTGAAGAGTTCCCTAATTAATGAATCTAAAGAGGAATACACTGTCACACTGGATATTAAAGTAAATTTAATTAAATTTTTGTGTACAAATTCTTGAATAAACTAACGATTGTTTGTGTGGTTCAGAGCCCTTCTGGAGAAGACAGTGGAGAATATAAATGTGTGATAAAGAATGAAAGCGGAGAACTCATTGCAAACCTGAAGCTAAACATTGAGGGCGCGACTAAGGGGACGGGAGAGGCGCCCACTTTTGTGGAGAAACCGAAAATCATTTCCGAACGGAACGGCAAGTTAATAGTAATGGAGTGCAAAGTGAAGTGCAAACCAAAGCCCGATATCGTGTGGTTCTACGAGTCGAGTGAAGTGCGAGAATCGACACGAATTAAGCAGACAATCAGTGAAGAGAAAGACGTCTATTTGATTCGTATGGAAATACACGACCCGGCACTCAAAGACTCTGGTGTTTACAGATGTAATGTTAGGAACAGCGCCGGAGAGAGTAATGCAAACCTAACACTCAATATTGAATGTAAGCCAAGAATTTAATTTGAAATACTGGTATAAAAAAATTAAAACCAAAATATTGTTTGAATTGATATATCAGTCGCTCCTGTGATCAAAGAGAAGCCACGAATTATACGCAAAGAAAGACAACAAAAAATAGTAATTGAATGTAATGTTGAATCCGGAGGTAAACCTAATTTCATTTGGCAAAGAGAGACAACTCTTGTCAAAGAGGACTCAAGACATCAGATTATTGTAAGGGAAGAGAATAAAGGAGAATATGTTATCGCTCTTGAAATCGATAGACCCGGTGCTAACGACAAAGGCATGTATACACTGATTGCCAAAAACGAGAAGGGAGAAGTGACCTCCCAGGCCATCAATGTTACCATTGATGACGACGAGGAGGAGGAGAAAAAGAAGGGCTCAAAGCCTAAAATTATTCAAAAACTTCGCTCAGAAGTAAGCACTCAGTTATTCATTCATTTTTGTTTCATCTCTTGTGCTCTACTCTTAACTATTCCAACAAAACACGAGTTATTTTTACATTAGTTTCAAGAATTTCCAGAATTTTTTATTTTTAAAACTTTTTATTAAATAAAATATTTTCAAGAATTAATACATTTCTGAATACATATTCTGTGGAAAAGGATGTTTTGTGTGTCGAATAAGTTATTGAATTGTTAGACAACTAATTCATAACAAAAATAATGCAAACGATGAAACTTTTCACAATAAGTGCAGTTTTGTTTCGCTTAAATCCAGAAACGTTTATTTGAGATGTTTTTCATTAAACCATTTGAGAAGATATCTATAAATAGTTTACATTTTGTGTTAAATTCGCCATTTGTTGGATTAATACATTTTACATAATTTATTTGAACTCTAAATTCTGTGTTTGACTCAAAATTCATTTCGGATAAAATGTTTGTTCGCTTCGTTAGACCGTAGAATCGGGCGAAACGATCGAATTGATCACAAGATACCAATCGACCGAAAAGACACGAGTGATTTGGTATAAAGACAGGCGAGTGATCAATGAAAGTCGAAACTATAGGATCTATTCCGACGATTCCACTTCGAGACTAACGATCAACAACGCGACCACAGAATTAAGTGGAGAATATTCTGTGGAAATCATCAACTCTTCGGGCAAAGAGGAGTCGAGCGCTACTCTTAGAGTAACAAAAGCCACAGAAGAGGAGGAGGAGGCCGAAGAAGAGGTCGAAAAGAAAAAAGTCAAAAAGACTGTCGAGGAAGAGGTCGAAGAGAAAAAAGAGTCGAAAAAAGTAGAGGAAAAGAAAAAAGAGGAGGAACTCAAGAAAACAGAGGAAACAGAACTCAAGGATAAAAAGAAACTTTCGGTTAAAAAGAAAGCCGAAGAGAAGAAAGTCGACGAAAACAAAGTCGAAACCAAAAAAGACGAAGAACTCAAGAAAACCGAAGAAACAAAACTCGAGGACAAGAAAAAGCTTTCGGTTAAGAAGAAAACCGAACAAAACGAGGAAATAAATAATAAAACTAAAGTCGAAGAGAGAAAAGAGAGTTTGAAAGCCGAGGAAAATAAGGTCTTCAAGTTAGACGATCCGCCAAAGAAAAAGGCTTCTGTTAAGAAAAGGGAGAGTTTAGTCGATAAGACTAATGAAGTGACAGAGACTGAAGACAAGACTAAACTCAAACCGACGACAAGTCCGCCAAAGATTATAATTCAAACCAAAGAAGAGGACAAAACAGAACCAAAACCCGAAGAAAAAACAGGTAAAAAACTTTCCGTTAAGAAAAAGGAAGAGAAGTCTACTGTTGACACCAAAGTAGAACCAAAACCAGAGACCAAACCCGAACCAAAACCGGAAGAAAAGAGGAAATTATCGATTAAGAAGAAGGAAGAGGTGTCTACTGTTGAGACTAAAGTAGAAACAAAACCGGAGACAAAACCCGAAGAAAAGAGAAAGTTGTCGATTAAGAAGAAAGAAGAGACAACTGTAGAGACATCTGTTTCGAAACCTGAGACAAAACCAGAAGAAAAGAGGAAATTATCGATTAAGAAGAAGGAAGAGGTGTCTACTGTTGAGACTAAAGTAGAAACAAAACCGGAGACAAAACTCGAAGACAAGAAAAAGTTGTCGATTAAGAAGAAGGAGGAGACAAAGACCACTGAAGAGACAACTGTTTCTAAAACAGAACCAAAATTAGAGGCCAAACCCGAAGAGAAGAGAAGATTATCCATAAAGAAAGCACAGGAAGAGAAAAGTGCTGAAAGTGTTGACGTAAAAGAGGCAAAAGCAGAGATGGCGTCGAGACTGGAAGTCGAGCCGAAGAAAAAGCTTTCGTTGAAGAAGAAGGTGTCGGAAAAGAATTTGGAAAACGACAAGAATGGTGAGGACGACAAACGCAAGGACTCACTGGTCATCGAAGAGCCCGTTAAGAGAAGGCTTTCGGTGAAAAAGCCTGAGAAACGTGAGAGTATTCCCTCCATTGGTGAGCCGACAGAGGCGGGCGGGACTCCAACGGTGGGCGCGAAAAAAGGTTCGGTTAATGAAAATCGCGTTCAAATTCCTATAGTTAGAGAACCAACGCCTGAATTAGAGCGCAAGGAATCGGTTGATAGTAGTAGTGATAGACGCGATTCACTAGTTTTAGACACACCTCCGCCCAGTCTTAGTCCGCGGGGTTCACGGAGGGGTTCCATACTTATTGTTGCAGATGAGAAGGGGCTGGCGGTTGACGAGGCGGGACAGACCAAGAAGTTGAGGCCGGGAGAGATGCTTGAAGTGAGGCGCGGCTCAGCTATGCTTAGGAAGGGTAGTATTGATATGAGACGGCTGTCGGCCGCTGAGATAGACATCGCCGACAAGCCGTCGACGCCATTGCGAGCTCAGGGCGATGAGGGGCCGCCAGTTATTACAGATTTCGTGTCGAGTGTCAGTGCAGTCGACGGTAAGACTGCTATATTACAGGCGACGATAGAGAGCAAACCGGTCGCTCAGTTTAAGTTCTTCAAAGAGGGTCAGGAGATCTTCGAGGGCGGCCGCTTCAAAGTGGTCACAGACGGTGAGGCAAATATTATATACTTCTGTATTAGAAAGGCTAAACCCAATGACGAGGGAAAGTATACTATCACTGCATATAACTCTTACGGAGAGGACAGTTGTAATATCAAAGTCTTCGTCAGCGGTAAGTGTTTTGCGATTTTCATTTCTTATGCAAATCTGTGTGACTCACGAAAGTGATCGTCAATTGAATGAATTGCAACTCAGATGACAGTGGAATGGACTTCCGGGCTATGCTTAAAGCCAAACAATACGCCAAATGGAAGAAAGAGAACGAAGACCCCGATTGGGGATCACTTAAGGCTACTGAAGATGAACGCAGGGCTTCTCTCAAAGAGACCAAGGTTAGTTACCACTCATTTATACATTTCACATACACTTTATTTGTATTATATTATCATACAATTAGATATGTAATTGATATATCAATAGTTTTCATATGAGTCAAAACATATTATATCAATCTTAAGAGTCGACGAATGGATTCAAACAAAATCTATTTTATATAAAAAACCAAAGCTTTGCGCAAATATGTGAAGAACGCTATAAATCACAAAAACTATCTGTTTTTGTCCTATTAATGCAATTTATGTTTATTCATTTACAAATATTCTTAAATGTTTTATGTTTTGTCACTAACTTAAAAAATAATCTGTTTTCGAAATACCTGTTGATAATTGTTTGAGTTATACTGTACTAACATTTTATGTATTTTATGTTTCTATGTTCTGTGTTAAATGTTTTAAATGTTGTTTTCGGTCCAACTTATGTGTGGAATAATAATTGTAAACCAATTGTCGATAATTTCTGACTCGAATCCTGAGATTATTTTCACATTATTTTGATGATAATCACAATTAATTGTCTGCACTTCATATTCTCTACTCTCTATTCTCTAAACAAGTAAAGGGTTTGTTTAAAACTTTTTTTTATTTCGTTTAATAGCGCTTTGGAAATGTTTTAACGCACTTAATAATTAATTGTTTAATTGCTTGCTATTAATAATTAGTGAATATCTTATCCAAATAGTTATTCCTATAATAGTTATAGAATAATAGCATTGATTCCAGTAGTATAGCAAACCTCCAATAGTTTAGTATAGAAAACATCCAAATAGTTGATCCAATAGTTATAGAGCTTATATAGACTTAGAAATATAATATAAGATAGAAATGAATAGTATTGCTAATAATTGTGATTCTTTGGGCATTTTCTGTTCACAAAAATTGTTTTGTGTTAACTCCGATCTCAAATCAACTTGAAAATGTGTTGAATGCTTAACATTGAAATTAAACCGAAAGGACGATACAAACGATCAGTCACTCCGAGTCCCCAGTCCTAGCAATTCAAAGGATAGGCGAACAACTCTCGCAGATATCATACCCGATTGGCCGACATTACAAGCGGTTAAGAAAAAAAGACAGGTTTGATAAACCGATTCCGTTGTGTTTTATGTCGTTTTGGATGACATTTGCTTTCATATCATGTCATTTGAATGTATCGCTGCTTAACCACAAAACAATTCTTTATGTTATTATCATAATTGTCATAATTTGTGTCAATTCTGTTCAATGTTGCCAAACATTTATTATATAACCGATTGACAACTTATTGACAAAAAACAATTAAAACATCAAACAAATATTAAGATACAGTACATGTCAATAAATCATATAATGTCAATGTGTTATGTAATAAAAGTTAGACTAAATAAACTGTAACGAATATCTAAATTCTATGTGTATTGCCTTTGGCTTTAAATATTATATGTGATTGTACTGTATAATTCACTGTTTAATCACTGTCTAATTGATGTTGCTTATATAATTTGTGATCACTTATATAATCCATTCTTTTAAAAAACAAATATTCAAAAGTTTATTTTCACTTAATGTCTAAACGGGAAGAGTGCATGAATTCAGTGACAGATCTCATTGCATGAACTGACGGACCCATGAATTAGTTGTCGTGACATTTGTTTGTCAGAAACCCGATGTCTTTATCAAACCTCTTGTGGACCAACGCGTCAAAGAAGGAAAGGACAAAATGGTTCGCTTCGAAGCCGTTTACTCCAAGTCCGGCATTAAAGCCAAATGGTTTAAAGGCAGGACTGAGCTCTTCATGGGCAAGAAGTACAACATGACCAGCACTGGAGACCTTCACGTGCTAGAGATCCGCGACCCGAGGGTCGAAGACGGCGCTCAATACAAGTGCCAGTGTTTGGAGACCTCGTGCACAGCGATGTTGGAAGTGGACAGACCCGACCCGGTCTACAAATTCATTAAGAACTTGCAGAAGAAGTACGAACAGTTCACGGGTAGGGAACTGGCGCTCGAGTGCACCACCAACCACTACAAGGCACCGGTCAAGTGGTATAAGGGCGACAACCGGATCGAGCCGAGCGACAAGTACTCGATTGAGCAGGATACTTTCGGCAAAAAAATCTTGCGCATTAATAACTGCGCGGTCAGTGATTCCGGTGACTACTCGTGTAAAATAACGCCGAACGCCACGGAGGAAGTGACCAAAGCTGAGGTGGTCTGCACTGACAAGCAATACATTTTCGTCAAGTATTTGATGAGTTTGAGGACCACTGAGAACGAGACGATTACATTGGAGTGCGAAGTGGACGACATGTACGCGAAGGTCCAGTGGTTCAAAGATGGCAAAGAGATCGCATCCATTCCCAAAAAGATGGACATTATTTCTGACGGAAGGAAACGTAAATTGATTATCAAAAAAGCCAAAGTGACGGATGAGGGCGAGTATAGCTGTACCACAAATGCGGACAAAACTGTTTGCGAGACAATCGTTGAGCGTATGTTTAGTTTATTCAATCGATTTTTACTGTGTTTTTGTCATTTATTCAATAATTTTTTTGTAACTTTAGCCGCAAATAAGTTCCGTAAGAAACTACAGGACAAGACTGTGTTAGAGCGCGAAGAGATTGTTCTGGAGGTGGAAATGCTGGAGAAGAAGGCGCCCATCAAGTGGTATAAGAATGGAGAAGAGATCAGACCTAATGATAGGTACTATACTATAAACGTATTGATTATAATTAGCACATAATTGCTAACAAATAATACTCAACAGAATTACAATCAAATACAATGACGACGGGAAGCAACAGTTGATTATAACCAATGCACAGATGGATGACATCGGAGAGTATAGCGTCAAGAATGAGAAGGGAATGAAATGCAGCTGTAAAGTGGATGTCAAAGAGGCTGAAAAGAAACCGGAGCTCCGACTCGACAAAACCGACTATCAGGCAGACGCTAACCGGCCCTTCACTATCGAGATTCCATACAAAGGCAATGATTTTTGTTATAAATATTGAGTATATGATTAGTTTCAATGAAATGTTTGATTTAATAGTTAGCGGAACTCGAACCTCAGATGTGGTGCCAAAGCTTATGCAAAACGGTGTACCCGTTAATCCCAAAGAAATCGAAATCATTGTGAAAGACGACAAAATTGTTGTGACATTTAAAAAGCCGACGCGAGAGAGTTCTGGTGGATATGACTTCAGTCTATCCAACTCTCAGGGCGAGAGCAAAACCCCTCTTAAATTCAATTTCGTTGACGTGCCCTCACCTCCGGAGGGGCCGCTCGAAGTGACCGACTTGTTCAGAGACCGGTGCAAACTGGCCTGGAAGCCACCCAAAGACCTTGGAGGACTTCCTCTTTTGCATTATGTGGTGGAGCGCCAGGATTTGGCCGTTAGGGGCGGTTGGACTGAAGTGGGCACCACTGAGAGCTGTAAGATGGATGTCACCGATTTGGCCCATAAGAAGGAATATAAATTCCGCGTCCGAGCCGTCAACAAAAAGGGCACTTCAGAGCCATTGACTGCACCCAAGACTTATTTAGCCAAAGATCCCTACGACGAGCCCTCCAAACCCAAAGACCTGGAGATTGTCGACTGGGATAAGGATCACGTGGACCTCAAATGGAAGGCCCCCGAGAAGGATGGCGGCGCTCCCATTGAGAAATATGTCGTCGAATCGAAAGACAAGTTCTCTCCCGATTGGGTGCCATGTCTTGAAGTATCGGGTAATGAATTGAAGGGAAAGGTGACTGCAGTGAAGGAGAACATGCAGTACCAGTTCAGAGTCCGGGCCATCAATAAGGCGGGACCGGGAGAGCCCAGCGACCCGACCAAGAATTTGATAGTAAAGGCTCGCTTCGCTAAACCATTCATTATTGGTGAAGAACTCAAGAATGTTGTGGTGAAGAAGGGAGCGATCATTAAATACGACATTCAGTTCGGAGGCGAACCGCCGCCGGACGTCGTTTGGACTATCAATTCAACGGAATTGAAGCCTTCGAGTCGAATATCCATTGAAAACACTCCTAAAACTACTTTATTGATCATAAAACAGGCCGTGAGAGGAGATTCCGGCAAAATTACGTTAACCCTAACGAATAGTTCAGGTTCTGTGAGCTCAACGGCCGATGTGGTGGTACTCGATAAGCCCACACCACCTGAAGGTCCTCTCATTGTCGAAGAAATATTCGCTGAATCAGCGAAACTCAAATGGAAACAACCGAAAGACTTGGGAGGATCTGAACTCAAAGGCTATCAAATCGAGAAGATGGATGTGGACACCGGTCGGTGGGTTCCCTGTGGCGAAGTTGGACCTAACGCTACGTCCTTTAAGTGTGAGGGACTGACTAAAGGAAAGAAATATAAGTTTAGAGTCAAAGCTCTCAACAAAGAGGGAGAATCGGATCCTTTAGAGACCGATCAACCGATAACTGCAAAGAATCCATACGACGAGCCATCAAAGCCCGGAAAACCCGATATTGTGGACTACGATAACACAAGTGTTTCCCTCAAATGGGCGCCGCCTGAGAAAGATGGCGGACGTCCTATTGAGAGATATATTGTAGAAATGAAAGACAAATTCAGTTCTGACTGGAAGGAAGTGCTCAAAACAGAGGGGCCCACACCTGAGGCAACCGTTAAAAATCTTAATGAGAACTCTTCGGTCCAATTCCGAGTGCGCGCCGTTAACCTCGCGGGTCCGGGAGAACCAAGCGATGCCACGGATCAGCACATTGTGAAACACAGAAACTTGAAACCATATATAGACAGAACCAATCTGAAGAACATTATCATCAAAAGCGGTCGAACCCACAAATATGACGTCGACATCAGAGGTGAACCCCCGCCCACTGTCGTCTGGACTTTCGGCGAATCAAATGTTAAACTTTCTGACGATATAAACATTAAGATTGAGAACAGGGACTATCACTCAGAGCTGACAGTCTCGAAGGCCACCCGAAAACAGTCGGGAAAATACACGATAACTGCGACCAACAAAAACGGAACCGACTCTGTTGTGGTCGACCTGACAGTATTGGCCGCTCCGTCCAAACCTGAAGGACCTCTTGAAGTGACAGACATTCACAAAGAGGGCTGTAAACTGAAGTGGAAGAAACCCAAAGACGACGGCGGGTCTCCTATAAAGCAATACGATGTCGAGAAGTTCGACAAAGAGACGGGTCGTTGGACTCGATGTGGAAAGACTGACAAACCAGAGATCGATGTGACGGGACTGACCCCCGGAAAGGAGTACTTATTCAGAGTTACGGCAGTCAATGAAGAGGGAGATTCAGAGCCGTTGACTACTTTGGAGGCTATTATTGCCAAAAACCCTTACGACGAGCCCACTAAGCCGGGCACTCCTGAAATCATCGATTATGACAATACTAGTGTTGAACTGAAGTGGACCCCACCTAAGAGTGATGGCGGCGCTCCCATTCAGAAGTATATCATTGAAAAGAAGGAGAAGAATGCCTTGAATTGGGAAAAGGCGGCTGAAGTGATAGGCAATGTATGTGAAGGCAAAGTGGAAGAACTGAAAGAGAGAACTGAAGTACAGTTCCGAGTGGTCGCTGTCAACAAGGCTGGTCCGAGTGAACCGAGCGATGCCACCAAAAACCATGTCGTGAAACACAGACGACTCAAACCATATATCGACAGAACAAATCTCGAGATGATTACCGTTAAGAGGGGAAAACAAGTGAAACTGGACGTGAATGTGAGGGGCGAACCCCCGCCCGCTATTGCCTGGAAGCTCGCGGACAAGGAAGTGAAGGGCGACGAGAACTATGAGATCGTTAACGTCGACTACAACACAAAATTCACAATTAATGACTGCCAACGCAAACACACCGGTCTATACAAGATCATTGCCGTCAATGAGGTCGGGAAGGATGAGGCGGAGGTCGAGATATGTGTGCTCTGCGCCCCCTCCAGACCTAAGGGACCCCTCAAAGTGGATAACGTGACCGCAAAACAATGTGATCTTCACTGGCAAAAGCCAGATGACGACGGCGGACGACCCATTCAGGGCTATGCTATTGAGAAGTTGGATCCATTGACTGGCAATTGGGTGCCCTGTGGTCGCACTGATAAGGATACCACTGATTTCCAGGTGACAGGTCTTCAACAGGGAAAGTGTTATCAGTTTAGAGTCAAAGCTATTAACTCTGAGGGAGAATCAGAACCATTGGTTACAACTGAACCCATTGTGGCTAAGAATCCGTACGAATCAGCCAACGCTCCTTCAAAGCCAGACATTGTGGACTGGGATGAGAAACACGTGGATCTCGTTTGGAAACCTCCTAAGAATGATGGAGGCGCTCCTATCACTGGTTATATCGTTGAAGTTAAAGACAAATTGAGCAGTCATTGGGAACCAGTGCTCGAAACTAATTCACCGAAACCCGAAGCAACAGTTGCCGGTCTTATTAAAGGCAAAGAATACCAGTTCCGCGTCAAAGCTGTTAATAAGGCGGGTCCGGGAGAGGCCAGTGAACCGACTGGTCTTCACACCTGCAAAGAACGTCATTTGAAACCACATATAAATCGTGATAATCTGCAACCCATTACTATCAGAGCCGGCAATTCAGCCAAAGTTGACGTTGAGATCAGTGGCGAACCGCCGCCGAAAGTCGAATGGATTTTCGCAGGAAAACCACTTGAAGCTGATCTCAACACCAAAATTGAAAACCCAGACTACGAGTCACACATTCAGCTCAAGAATATGACCCGCAAACAGACGGGTAAATACAAGATCGTCGCCACAAATGAGTCCGGAAAGGATGAGGCGGAGGTCGAGATCAATGTGTTGGACAAACCGGGCAAACCTGAGGGACCTCTTGACGTGTCTGATGTTCACGCAAATGGATGTACTCTTGATTGGAATCCACCCAAAGATGACGGAGGAGTACCTCTTCAGGGATATGTTGTCGAGAAGAAAGACATCTCCAGCGGTCGATGGGTTCCAGTGGCTAAAGTGGCTCCGGATAAGACCACTGTAGACGTGACCGGTTTGGACACCGGAAAGAAGTATGAGTTCAGAGTTAAAGCCGTCAATGAAGAAGGAGAGTCTGAGCCGCTCGATACCGACCGCACAGTACTCGCCAAGAATCCATTCGAAGAGCCGGGAGCGCCAGGACTTCCCACTATTGAAGACTACGATAAAGACTTTGTTGAACTCAAATGGGAGGCACCCATACGTGATGGCGGCGCTCCCATCACTGGGTATATCATTGAAAAGAAAGACAAATACAGTCACGACTTCGTACCGGCCGCTGAAATACAAGGAAATATTTGTAAAGGAAAGGTGACGGGACTTAATGAGGGCGACAAATATGAGTTCCGAGTGCGGGCTGTTAATAAGGCCGGTCCCGGAGCGCCATCCGATTCAACGGCTCCTCATTTGGCGAAACCTCGCTTCTTGAAGCCAAAGATCGACAGAACAAACCTAAAGCCCATTACTATAAAAGCCGGACAAATGGTTATGCTTGACGTCAACGTGTCTGGAGAGCCGCCGCCGACTATTGTATGGAAACTCAAAGACAAAGAGCTCTCTTCGGGAGAAACCTATGCAATCGATAACATCGATTACAACACCAAATTTAATCTGTTGAGGGCCACGAGGAAGGAGACGGGAACCTACACTATAATCGCCACTAACAGTAGCGGTACAGACGAGGCCACAGTCGAAGTCAATGTTCTCGGAAAGCCTTCTAAACCTAACGGTCCCTTAGAAGTAACTGATGTTCACAAAGAGGGCTGTAAACTGAAATGGAAGCCTCCGGACGACGACGGGGGGACTCCTATAGAGTGTTACGAAGTGGAGAAAATGGATGAGGAGACGGGCCGTTGGGTTCCGTGCGGAAAGTCTAAAGAGCCGTCCATTGAAGTCACTAATTTAGTTCCCGGAAGAAAGTATAAGTTTAGGGTCCGGGCAGTCAATAAAGAGGGAGATTCTGATGAACTCGAAACGGATCACTCGACTGTCGCTAAGAATCCATTCGACGAGCCCTCCAAACCTGGGCGACCGGAGCCGACAGATTGGGACAAAGATCACGTCGACCTCACGTGGAGTCCTCCCGATTCTGACGGCGGCGCTCCCATTGAGGGCTATATTATAGAGAAACGCAAGAAAGGACAGCATAAATGGCAAAAAGCCAAGACTTTGCACACACCCGACACCAAAGCAACGGTTCCCGACTTGGAAGAAGGCGAAGAATATGAGTTCCGAGTGATTGCTGTCAACAAAGCGGGTCCGAGTGAACCGAGTGATGCCTCGCGCTCTGTCATCGCTAAACCTCGAAGATTAGCGCCGATTATTGACAGAACAAACCTAAAGAATATTACGATAAGGAGTGGACAACCCGTCAAATTCGATGTCGACGTGAAAGGAGAGCCGCCGCCGACTATTGAATGGACTTTTAATGGCGAGAAACTCAAGACCGATGACAACCACTCCATCGACAATGAGCCAAATCACACACTATTCATACTTTCAAAGTCCAAACGCAATGACACCGGAAATTATGTGATAACCGCTAAAAACGAGTTCGGAAGCGACGAAGCCGTGGTTGAGGTGAAAGTGCTGAGCAAACCGGGCAAACCCAAAGGTCCCCTTCAGGTGAACGACGTGCACGCGGAGGGCTGTAAACTCAAGTGGGAGAAGCCTGAAGATGACGGCGGAGAACCCATCAGTGGATATGTGGTCGAGAAGATGGACGTCGACACCGGCAGATGGGTTCCCGTCACCACTGTTCGCGAACCAGAAGCTGAAGTTAAAGGACTTATTGCCGGAAAGGAATACAAATTTAGAGTCAAAGCCGTCAACTCTGAGGGCGAATCAGAACCACTCGAAAGCGATCTTCCGGTTGTGGCAAAGAATCCATTCGACGAACCGGGAAAACCAGGCAAACCGTCCGCCAAAGACTGGGACAAACATCACGTCGACCTCACGTGGAAGGCGCCCGACAACGATGGCGGCGCTCCTATTACTTCGTATATTATTGAGAAAAAAGATAAATACAGCACTAAATGGCAAAAAGCTGCCGAAGTTATCGGCGATAAATGCGAGGCTAGAGTTGCCGAACTCATTGAGGGAATGGAGTATCAGTTCCGTGTGAAAGCGGTCAACAAAGCAGGTCCGGGCGCTCCCAGCGATGCCAGCGATAGCATCACTGCAAAGCCCAGAAATTTAGCGCCGAAGATAGACAGGTCTACACTACGAGACGTTGTCTTACACGCCGGACAGACATTTAAGTTTGACGTGAAAGTCATTGGCGAACCACCGCCTAAAACCTTATGGTTTGCAAACGACACTCCCATTAAGAATGATAGCCAACACACCGTTGAGAACGAGCCCTACAGAACCAAACTGGCCGTCAGTGGAGTGGAGCGTAAAGACACCGGAGTTTATAAGATAACTGCAGAAAATCCTTCGGGAAAAGACGAGGCAGAAGTCAAAGTGACTGTTCTCGATGTGCCCTCACCTCCTGAAGGCCCTCTCGAGGTGACTGATGTTCACGCGGAGGGATGTAAACTCAAATGGAAAGAACCCAAAGATGACGGCGGAGTTCCCATTGAGTCCTATGTTGTCGAGAAACAAGACACACAAACGGGACGGTATGTTAAGATGTATTATTTATAAGACATTTATTTCATTCACTTTTTTATAACCAATAGTTGGGTTCCCGTCGGGTCGACCACTCGGCCTGAAATCGCTGTCAATAACTTAGAGCCCGGAAAGGAATACAAGTTTAGAGTGAAAGCCATTAACGCTGAGGGAGAGTCTCTGCCTTTGGAGACATTACAGCCCATTGTGGCTAAGAATCCATTTGACCCTCCGGGAGCTCCGGGCACTCCTGAGATGACAAACTATGACAAGGATTTCGTCGAACTTAAGTGGCAGAAACCCATCAAAGACGGCGGCGCTCCCATCACTGGTTATATCATAGAAGTGAAGGAAAAGGACGGCACGCGTTGGGTTAAAGGCGCCACAATTGATGGGGACGTTACCTCAGGCAAGGTTCCGGATCTTGTTGAGGGAGAGACCTATCAGTTCCGAGTAAAGGCAGTGAACGCCGCCGGTCCGGGAGAGGCCAGCGATGCCTCGAAAGGAATTCTTGTGAAACCGCGTAAACTTCCGCCGAAAATCGACAGAAGAAATTTAATCAATGTATCGATAAAAGCCGGTCAGACCTTCTCGTTCGACGTGAACGTGAAGGGAGAGCCGGCGCCTGAAACTGTCTGGAAGATTAAGGACAAGACAGTTGTGGAGCGCCCAACCCTTCACGTTGAAGACAAACCCTATAATACAAAACTAATTTGCGATAAAGCAGAGCGAAAAGACTCTGCAATTTATCACATAATCGCTACAAATCAATGGGGAAGAGATGAGGCAGAGGTTGAAGTGATAGTTGTCTCTAAACCGGACAAACCTGAGGGTCCTCTTGAAGTGAGTGATGTTAACAAAAATGGATGTCATCTGAAATGGAAGAAACCCAAAGACGATGGCGGAGAGCCATTGGACGGCTATATTGTGGAGAAACTGGAGCCGGAAACGGGTGCGTGGGTTCCCATCGCTAAAACACATTTACCCGAAACAGATGTGACGGGACTGACACCCGGAAAGTCATATCAGTTTAGAGTGAAAGCAGTGAACAAAGAGGGAGAATCAGAACCTCTTGAAACAGACTTTCCGATTGTGGCAAAGGATCCGTTCGACACACCCGGACAGCCAGGAAAGCCAGAAGCGACCGATTGGAACAAAGATCACGTCGACCTCAAATGGACGCCTCCCATCTCGGATGGCGGCGCTCCCATCACTTCTTATATAATTGAAAAGAAAGAGAAGGGTTCACCCAAATGGATAAAAGCCGCAGAAGTGGCCGGCGATCAGACCAAAGGTACCGCTCCTCACCTCGAAGAAGGAAAGGAATACGAGTTTAGAGTGACGGCAGTCAACAAAGCGGGTCCGGGAGAGCCAAGTGATGCCTCCAAAGCGATTGTAGCCAAACCCAGATTCTGTAAGTCTCTTCTCATTTCACATTTCAAACAATTCCTTAAAATGTGTTTATTCTCCAAATAGTGGCCCCACATATCGACCGAAAGAACTTGAATGACATCACCTTAAGAGTGGGTCAGGCCATCAAGTTTGACGTCGACGTGACGGGTGAACCGCCGCCGACTATAGTCTGGCACTTGAATGAGGAGCCGATTAAAGGCGATCAACACATCAAAGTAGACAACGAGGACTACAACACCAAACTCACGGCAAGGAACTCAACGCGAGCCGATTCCGGCAAATATGTCATCACTGCTACCAATAGCTCGGGCAGAGATCAGGCGACTGTCAATGTTCTGGTCATCGATAAGCCCACACCTCCTGAGGGACCGTTAGATGTGTCCGATGTCCATAAGGAGGGCTGTAAATTGAAATGGAAACCACCTAAAGATGACGGAGGAATACCTCTCGAGGGATATCTCGTGGAGAAACTGGACACCGATTCGGGAATTTGGGTTCCGGTCGGTAAATGCAAAGAACCGCAAATGGATGTGACGGGTCTGACGCCCGGAAAGGAATACAAATTCAGAGTCGCGGCCGTTAATAAAGAGGGAGAATCAGAGCCATTGGAAGCACTCAAACCTATTATCGCTAAAAATCCTTTCGGTATTTGATTTGTTGTTTCATTTCATAAAAACTTTTTGACCGCGTTTTTAAGTTAAATGCTTTCATAGTTTGATAATCTTATGAAACATTTATCTCATTGCAGACGAACCGGGAAAACCCGGAACACCAGAAGCGACCGATTGGGACAAAGATCACGTGGATCTTAAATGGACGCCTCCTGCTAGCGATGGCGGCGCTCCTATTACTGGATATATAATTGAAAAGAAGGACAAATGGGGTGATTGGGAAAAAGCTGTGGAAGTGCCCGGGGATAAGACCACAGCAACAGTGCCCGGTCTGATCGAAGGACAACCCTATGAGTTCAGAGTGAAGGCTGTGAACAAAGCGGGTCCGGGAGAGCCCAGCGATGCCTCCAAGACTATTGTTGCTAAACCCAGACGATTGGCGCCAAAGATTGACAGAAACGCGTTGAACAAAGTGAAGATCAAAGCCGGACAGACCTTCAACTTTGACGTCAACGTCATCGGAGAGCCCCCGCCCGACATCACATGGACTTTGAAGGGACGGAAAGTCACTTCTGGCGATAAAATCAAATTAGTGAACGAACCCTACAATACGAAACTCAATGTCCGTCAGGCGACCCGCGCCGACAGCGGCACCTATACTATCACTGCTGTCAATGAGAACGGCAAAGACGAGGCCACAGTCGAAGTGTTGGTTCTCGACAGACCCGCACCCCCTGAAGGGCCCCTTAAAATTGACGACATTCACGCCGAGGGCTGTACTCTTAAATGGAAGCCTCCTGAAGATGATGGCGGAGCCCCTATTGATCATTACGTCGTCGAAAAACAGGATCCATTGACTGGAGTTTGGGTTCCCGTGGAGCAGACTATTGGACCCGAAACTCAACTCAAAGTGAAAGGATTGCAACCAAACAAGAAATACAAGTTTAGAGTGAAGGCTGTCAACAGACTCGGAGACAGCGATCCACTGAATGCTGACAAAGAAATACTCGCGAAGAACCCGTTCGACGAACCGGGAAAACCAGGCACTCCTGTAATAGACGATTACGACAAAGACTTTGTGAAACTGAAATGGAAGGAACCGGAGAGCGACGGCGGGTCTCCCATCACGGGGTATGTCATCGAAAAGAAGGACAAATACAATCCCGATTGGGTTCCAGTGGCCGAAGTGGTGGGTAATGTGACGACAGGAAAAGTGCCGGATCTGGTCGAAGGTAATCAATACGAGTTCAGAGTGAGGGCCGTCAATAAAGGGGGTCCGGGAGTGCCGTCTGACTCGACGGGCACTCATACGGCCAGACCTAAGAACGCTCCGCCGAAGATCGACAGGAATGCGATGCGAGACATCAAAGTGAAGAAGGGAAAGACCATCGAAATCGAAGTCCCCGTCACTGGAGAGCCGCCGCCCACTAAGAAGTGGGCCCTCGAGGGCCTTCCTGTCAGCGAAGACTCGCGATGGAGTGTCACTAATGAAGACTATAAGACAAAACTTGTCATCAAAAACGCAGAGCGCGGAGATTCAGGTGTCCTGACACTGACCGCGACTAACATTAATGGCACCGACAGCGCAACCCTTAAGATCAATGTGTTGGACGTCCCGAAAGCGCCCGAAAACATGAGAATCAGTGATATAACGAAAGAGAGTTGTGTCGTCGCCTGGAGTCCACCCAAAGACGACGGAGGGTCTGAGATCTCACACTATGTGGTCGAGAAGAAAGACATCGAAACGGGCCGTTGGATTCCAGTGGGAGAGGCCTTCGATAATAAGATGAAAGTCGATAAACTCCTCGATCATCACGAATACCAGTTCCGCGTCAAAGCGGTCAACAAAGAGGGAGAGTCGCCATATCTGACCGGAAGAGACACTATTGTCGCCAAAAATCCATTCGAGACGCCAGACAAGCCGTCGCCGCCACAGATCGCCGACTGGGATAAAGATCACGTGGACCTCGAATGGAAACCTCCTCGTCGTGATGGCGGTGCGCCCATCACTGGGTATATCATCGAAAAGAAACTCAAGAGCAGCCCCTTCTGGGAGGAAGCACTCCGAGTGGCCGGAGATATCACTAAAGGAACTGTTCCTCATCTGACAGAAGGAGAAGAATATGAGTTCCGCATCACTGCTGTCAACAAAGCCGGTGCGAGTGAACCGAGCGAACCGTCCGAATCAGTTGTGTGTAAACCACGAAAACTAGCGCCAAGTCTCGACACGTCTGCGCTCAAGAATCTGAAAGTTCGCGCCGGAAGGCCTATCAACTACACTATACCTATCAAAGGAGAACCGGCACCGACAGCCACCTGGACTATCAATGGAAAGTCTGTTGCCAATGACAATCGCATGGATGTGAGCGGTACTGCCGGCCAGACTATACTAGACATCCCAACATCTGTGCGCTCAGACTCGGGAACCTTTACGCTAACACTTGAGAATCCTTATGGAAAAGTCTCGGCCTCTGCGACCGTCACTGTATTGGACAGACCGTCGCCACCGGAAGGCCCGATCAATATTAAAGACATAACCAAAGAGTCGTGTCATTTGAGTTGGAAAGAGCCCAAAGACGACGGCGGCGCTCCTATTAAGCACTACTTGATTGAGAAGATGGACACCGCCCGGGGCTCATGGGTTGAGTGCGGAACCACTCCCAACACGAACTTCAAAGTGACTAAACTTCAGCACAAGAAGTCCTATAACTTCCGAATCATTGCAGTCAATGAAATGGGAGACTCAGACGCCTTAGAGTCTGATCATCCGATTGTCGCCAAAAACCCGTACGATGTGGCAGACGCTCCGGGAAGACCTAATGTCGTCGATTGGGACAAAGATCACGTGGATCTCGAATGGACGGCACCTAAAGATGACGGCGGGTCTCCCATCACGGGGTATATCATACAGAAGAAAGAAAAGGGATCACCTTTTTGGTCAAAAGCCATTACAGTTCCCGCGGGAAAAACAAAAGCAACAGTTCCTGACCTTAAAGAGGGACAGGAGTACGAGTTCAGAGTTATCGCCACAAACAAAGCCGGAGAGAGTGAACCGTCGGAGCCGTCAGATCTGGTGACGTGTCGGCCCAGAAATTTGGCGCCAAAGATATTGACGCCTATGAAGGAAGTGAGAGTCAAAGTCGGACAGAAACTTAATGTTGAGATCAAATTCATCGGAGCTCCTGTTCCTCAAGTGGACTGGACTTTGAACGGAAAACCCTTAAAGTCAGATAACAGGGCCACTGTTTCTGACTTTGATGACCACACCATCATTAATATAGTTGACGCCAAGAGGTCTGACAGCGGATCCTATACTTTGAAGTTAGAAAATATTAACGGCAAAGACGAGGGAACGATGGCTGTCATTGTTCTCGACAAACCCGGTGCTCCTGAAGGACCCCTTAATATTGATTCTGTTGATAAAGATAGGGTTGACCTCTCGTGGAGACCTCCTAAAGACGACGGCGGAAGTGAAATAACGGGTTATGTGGTGGAGAAGAGAGACAAGACAACAGGCGGTCAATGGGGTCCAGCAGTGCTTCACGTGTCGCCCAAAGCTACCGAATGTACGGTTCCTAAGCTTATCGAAGGACATGAATACGAGTTTAGAGTTATGGCTGAAAACGCTCAGGGATTGAGTGAACCACTGAAGACAGACAGAGCTGTCAAAGCTAAGGCACCGTATGGAGTGCCTCAACGACCCGGACAGCCAGAAGTGGTGGACAGCGATAGAGATTTCATCAAAATCAAATGGGCGGCGCCCAGAAACGATGGTGGATCTCCTATCACTGGATATGATGTCGAGCGCAAAGACCTTAAGGGTAACCGATGGCTCAAAGTCAACAGAGAGCCGGTGCGAGGGCTCGACTATACGGACGATTCGGTGACAGACGGACATCTCTATGAATATCGTGTTGTCGCTCGCAATGCTGCCGGTGTGAGTGAGCCCAGTCCCCCATCCAAAGCAATCGCTGCCAAACCTCTCAAAGAGAAACCCAAACTTCATTTGGACGGACTGTATGGCCGCACAATCCGAGTTCGCGCTGGAGATCCCCTGGTCATCAATATCCCATTGACTGGAGCGCCACAACCAGAGGTGGTCTGGAGTGTAGACGACAGTCCTCTCAAACCATCGAATCGAGTCATAACGGAAAACAAAGACGAAATGATTTCATTGAAAATTCCGGTCTCACAAAGAGGAGACACCGGAAAGTATACCATCAAAGCAACCAATCCTTATGGCGAAGATTCTGCAGATATTCAGGTTTTGGTGTATAACCAGCCCTCACCTCCAAGAGGTCCACTTGAATATCAGTCCGTCACTAATTCGACGGTCACTTTGAATTGGAAAACACCTGAAGACGACGGCGGGTCAGAAATCATTGGCTATAGTGTCGAGAAGTGTGAGTTCGGGTCAGACAAGTGGATTCCGGCCGGTTATAGCACGGGTACTGTCCATACGGCTAAGAACCTCGAAGAAGGCAAACAATACAAGTTTAGGGTTAGGGCTGAGAATATGTATGGCATCAGTGAACCACTCGATGGCAGACCTGTTGTCGCAAAGAATCCCTTCGACACACCCGACGCGCCCGGACAGCCACAGATTGAGGACTACGGACCCACTTTTGCTGCCATCAAGTGGACGCCTCCTCTCTCAGACGGGGGTCGACCCATTCAGGGCTATATTGTTGAGAAACGAGAGAAGGGTAGTCCCGATTGGGTGGCCGTTAATTCATTGCCCACTCATAATACTGAGTTCACAATTCCTAATCTGACTGAAGGTCAGAGCTATGAATTCCGAGTGATTGCCGTCAATGAAGGCGGCAAAGGAAAGCCTAGCAAACCGTCGGCCACAATGACCGCTAAAGAGCGTAAGTTCCCGCCCGACGCACCAGACATGCCTCGGGTCGAGAAGATCACTAAAACAGGTGTAACCCTTTCGTGGAAGAAGCCGTTGAACGACGGGGGAAGTCGTATAACAGGATATCTGGTCGAAAAGAAACCCAAAGGCGCTAAGGATTGGGAAATCGTCAATAAGTTCCCGACCCCTGACACCACTTATGGCGTACAGAACCTCATCGAAGGAAATGAATACGAATTCAGAATAATAGCCGTCAATGATATCGGCGACAGTCCTCCGAGCAGACCCTGTCCTATGGTTAAAGTGGAAGACCAGCCAAACAAACCTAAGATAGACGTCGGCGCTGTCAGAGACATAACAGTAAAGGCTGGACAGGACTTCTCGATCAACGTTCCGTTCACTGCTTTCCCGAAACCGACGGCCAACTGGTCCGTCAATAACAATGACATCGATTCGAGTGATTCGCGATTTATGCAGAAAACGAGCGACGATTACACACAACTCGTCTGCACTAACAGTAAACGCGAGTACACCGGAAAATACAGTCTTCTCCTGAAGAATAGTTGTGGTTTCGATACCGTCACCTGTAATGTGCGAGTATTGGACAGACCGTCTCCGCCACAGAACGTGAGGGGAGAGGACGTTGAGGGCGACTCTCTCACACTCAAGTGGTCGCCTCCTAAAGACGACGGCGGCTCTGAAGTCACTAATTATGTGGTGGAGCGCAGAGAAAGTGGCTCTAATGCCTGGACCCGCGTCAGTAGTTTCGCCAATGGAACCGCTTTAAGAGTAAGAAATCTAACGGTGGGCCGATATTATGACTTCCGAGTGATGGCTGAGAACCAATACGGCACGAGTGACCCTGCTCAGACTGATGAATCCATTCTGGCTAAACTGCCGTTCGATACGCCCGACGCCCCGGGAATTCCCAGAGCTATCGACACGAGTGAGGACTCAATAACCCTGACGTGGACTAAGCCTCGCAGTGATGGCGGATCTCCTATTACTGGATATGTACTCGAAAAGCGTAAAGTGGGTGACAAGGAGTGGGCGCGAGCCTCACCCGCACTCATAACAGACCTCACGTACAAAGTTCCCGGTCTTAAGAATAACGAAGAGTACGAGTTCCGAGTGGCCGCCACCAACGCCGCAGGACAGGGACCCTTCAGCTATGCCTCGGACGCCATCATTGTTCGCAGGCCTCCGTCTGCTCCTAAAATTGATGGAGACTTTGCTCTGAAGGACATCGTTGTGATGGCTGGCGAACAGTTCACACTTCGAGTGCCATTCAACGGTTCGCCGACACCTAAAGCCGAGTGGACTATAAATGGAAAGACTGTTATCCCTGACGACAGAATCACGTCTGAAGTGAACGTTGCGTTCACTGTATTACTCAACAAAAAAGCCAAACGCGAGGACTCAGGCAAATACGGCCTCAAACTCACCAATTCTGAGGGATCGGACTCTGCCTTCTGTAGAGTACAAGTGGTCGACGTTCCCGAAGCACCGCAGGGACCGCTAGAAGTGAGTGACATCACGCCTGAGATGTGTTCACTGGCGTGGAGACCACCTCTCGATGACGGCGGAAGTCCTATCACTAACTATATCGTTGAAAAACAAGACCAAACCACCAAAATATGGACCAAATTGAGTGCATTCGTGAGGGGCTGTCATTACGATGTGATAGGACTCCAACCCAACAAAACCTATCACTTCAGAGTCAGCGCTGAGAACCAGTACGGCGTCGGCAAAGCACTCGAAACAGACAAACCCATTACCGCTAAGTTTCCGTTCAATGTTCCCGATCCGCCCGGAAAGCCAACCATCACTGACTACAGCAAAAACACAGCCAGTCTTAGTTGGGAACGACCTCTCAGTGACGGCGGCTCTAAAATACAGGGCTATTCTGTTGAATACAAGGAACCGTCGGACAGCAAATGGCTGATCGGCAATGAGTTTACTATCAAAAACACGACGTTCACAGTGAATGGTCTCATAGAGAACAAGGAATACCAGTTCAGAATCAAAGCCAAGAACGCCGCCGGTTGGAGTAAACCCAGCCCTCACTCAGCCACCATCAAAATGAAGGGTAAGTTTGCAGTTCCTTCCCCGCCACAGAACCTACACGTCAAGAAAGTGGGCAAAACATATGTTGACCTCAAATGGGAAGCCCCGCGAAGTGACGGCGGATCCAAAATCACGGGATATATAGTCGAGCGTAAGGAACATAACAGCACTTATTGGATAAAAGTCAACGACTATGGATGTCTTGACTGCGAGTACACTGTCCTTAATCTGAGCGAAAACAATGAATACGACTTCAAAGTGAGTGCAGTCAACAGCGCCGGTAAGAGCGAGCCCTGCCTTATGAGTACATCAGTTAAAGTACAAGAGATCGCCGGCGGATCCAAACCGGAGTTCGTGAGGAAACTGTTCAATAAGAATACGAACCTTAAGTCCCAAATCACTCTGGAGTGCGAAGCCATGGGTAACCCTCTGCCTAACGCTCGTTGGTTTAAGAATGGGAAGGAAATACATGCGGGCGGACGCCTCAAAGCCACCGAAGAGGACGGAGTCTTCAAACTTATCTTCACTGAAGTGTGGGATACAGACGAAGCCGACTACACGTGCGAAGCCGTCAATCCGTTGGGTTCCGACAAAACTAGTGCTTCTCTACGCATAGCAGCGCCGCCACAAATCATCCGCTGTCCCAATGAGGTGTACTTCCCTGAGAAAGACAACGGAAAGATTAAGATCTTTTTCTCGGGTTCGGCGCCATTCGATGTCATGCTTTTCAAGGAGGGCCTCGAAGTCAAAGAGTCCGATCACCTGAAGTACACTGTTTTCGATGAATACGTCATTATATTCATCAGAGATGTGGTGAAGTCGGATGAGGCCAAGTATAAGGTGATTGTGAAGAACGAATCGGGACAGGCAGACGCCACGTTCGCTGTCTTTGTCACTGGACTTCCGGGCAAACCTACCGGACCCCTGGAAGTGCCGGAGATATCGAAAAATTCTGCGACTATTACCTGGAAAGCACCCAAATATGACGGCGGGTGTAAAGTCACTCATTATATCGTTGAACGCAAGGAGTCGAGTCATACCCAGTGGGTGACCGCCACCTCCTTCTGCAAGGAAACCATTTTCACGGCTCAGGGATTGACTGAAGGCGGGGAATACCTGTTCCGAGTGATGGCCGTCAATGAGAACGGACAGAGCGAACCACTTGTCGGTGAGAATCCGATTATCGCCAAATTGCCATTCGATAAGCCATCGGCACCGGGAGTGCCCGAAGTGACTGAAGTGGGCGGAGATTTCGTAAACCTTCATTGGGAGAAACCCGAGTCCGACGGCGGCTCTCGAATACAGGGATATATAATAGAGAAGCGAGAGGTGGGAACTGTCGCCTGGCAGAGGGTTAATGTCTCTATTTGCCACTCAACACAAATCAATATCTCAAACCTTATCGAAGACCGACAGTACGAGTTCAGAGTGTTCGCACAGAATGAGGCCGGCCTTAGCCCTCCCTCTTCCAACTCGGGATCCGTTAAGATCAAAGACCCCGAGGCTGCCACCCCTCCAGAATTCATAGTACCACTGAAGCGCGTGATGGCTGTGGAGAACAAGAGCGCTCAGTTCACGTGCACTGTAGTAGGAGTTCCCAAACCGAACATATCGTGGTATAAGGGCGCCCGAGAGATATACGATGGCGGGAAGTATACTATGCTTAAGGATGGGGACACATATACCCTCACCATATCTGATGTCTATGGGGAGGACGCCGATGAGTACGCGTGTCGTGCGGTCAACAAAGGAGGCGCCCGAACCTCACGAGAGGAGCTCGTCATTAAGACTGCCCCTAAGATCTCAGTGCCGCCAAGATTTAGAGATATGGCCTGTTTTGAGAGGGGAGAGAACGTCTCCATTAAGATACCATTCACTGGAAATCCAAAGCCTAGAATCAAATGGTCTAAAGAGGGAGAAGAGATCGAAAGAGGCGATCACTTCGATGTGATTGTGAAGGAAAGACACGCCATTCTAGTGATCAGAGATGTCTCTAAACTAGACTCCGGGCCGTATTGTATCACAGCTGAGAACGAGTTGGGCGTGGATTCCGCCACAATTAACGTACAGATCAGCGACAGACCAGATCCGCCGCGATTCCCAATTGTGGAACAGGTGGGCGACGAGTACGTGACCCTGTCGTGGAAGGCGCCCCTATGGGACGGCGGCTCCACAATCACTAATTATATCATCGAGAAGAAGGAGCCCTCGATGTCCAGTTGGGTCCGTTGCGGACACACGAGGTTTCTGTTGCATCAGATCACTGGACTTAATCCAAACAAAGACTATGAGTTCAGAGTCTTCGCTGAGAATGTTTACGGAAGGAGTGAACCCTCAGAGACAACACAAAAGATTACGACTAAACCATCAGAAAAGGACAAACACAAGCGGAAGGGCTGGGAATTCGACGCAATGGGCAGAAAGATTAGAGGAAAGCCTGAGGGAAAAGTGACTAATTATGACCAATTCGTGTCCGACGCATACCAGTCCGCACAACCCGTCGACATAAAGACCTCATCTGTTTATGACTTTTACGACATTCTCGAGGAGATAGGAACGGGTGCTTTCGGTGTCGTCCACAGGTGTCGCGAGAAGAAGACCGGACACATCTTCGCCGCCAAATTCATTCCGGTTTCGCATCCGTTGGAGAAATCTATTATCAGGAAAGAGATCGATATTATGAATCATTTACATCACGCGAAGCTCATCCGACTTCACGACGCCTTCGAAGACGACGACGAAATGGTTCTCATCTATGAGTTCATGTCTGGCGGAGAACTCTTCGAACGAATCACTGATGAGGGCTATAAGATGTCCGAAGCCGAGGCTCAACACTATGTCCGACAAATCATTGAAGGCGTCAGACATATGCACGAGAAGAATATCATTCATTTGGATCTGAAACCCGAGAATATCATGTGTCAGAAGAAGAACAGCAATAACATCAAAATCATTGACTTCGGACTCGCGACCAAATTAGATCCGCACGAAATCGTCAAGATCTCGACGGGAACGGCAGAGTTCGCGGCGCCGGAAATCGTCGAGAGGGAACCGGTCGGCTTCTACACAGACATGTGGGCCGTCGGTGTCCTATCATATGTCCTGTTGAGTGGTTTGTCTCCATTCGCCGGTGAGAACGACATCGAGACCCTCAAGAACGTGAAGGCGTGTGACTGGGATTTCGACGAAGAGAAGTTCCGGGACGTGTCCAATGAGGCCAAGGATTTCATTCGACACCTTCTCACCAGAAATAAAGACAAACGAATGACAGCTCACGAGTGCTTAGAACACGATTGGCTCAAAGGGACGGACGTACCGACCACTCCTATACCCAATCGAAACTATATTAACATTCGGGACAAGACTCGCGCCAAATACGACACCTGGATGTCTGCACTCGTGCCCATCGGACACATCGCTAACTATAGTTCTTTGCGTAAACTTCAGGACGAAAAGTACAAAATGCAAGAAGTCTACTTCGACCGCAGGGAAGCCGTTCCCCGGTTTGTCATTAAACCTCATTCAACATTCGCATACGAGGGACAGGCGGCTAAGTTCACGTGTCGGGTGATCGCATCGGCGCCGCCGACTATCAGTTGGTTTAGAGATAACAGCGAATTGAAACAAAGCGTTAAATTTATGAAGAGATATGACGACGACAACTACACGTTTGTTATCAATCGATGCAAACTTGAAGACAGGGGAGAGTACACCATAAGAGCTGAGAATCACTACGGATTCCGTGAAGAACCAGTTTTCCTCAATGTTCATCCTCTTCCCAAAGAATTACCGCCCGTTAAGATCGACGAACCGGTGCGAAGGCGCCGCGAGGAACCCCTTCCCCTCTGGGAAGAGCCCAAGGATTGTGCCCCACATTTCACATTCCTATTGAGACCGCGTGTAATCCAAGTGGGACTGGGAGTCAAACTGTTGTGTTGCCTCAACGCAAAGCCATGGCCTGAGATCCGATGGTTTAAAGATGGGCGAGAACTCAGTAAACATGAATATACGATGTCTTCAGCGGACGGCGTCTGCACTTTAGATATCACTTCTTCCAGAGTAGAAGACGCCGGAAAATACACGTGTCTTGCGGTCAACCATTTGGGTGAAGCGGAAACCTCTTGTAATATAATAATCGAAGGTTTGTTTTAAACGTTCATTCAATTGATTTCATCGGATATTAAAAATTTAACATTATTTTAGCCAAAAGAGCGGTTCCGCATCACTCGCCCTCTCCTGTTGTCATATCTCCGCCAACTACGCGAATCTCGACACCAACTCCCAGATCACCCGTTCCTCCCTTAGACACATACATCAGAGACTATAAGGCAGAGTCGAAACGACAACAACAATCGTATTCATCGAAAAGACACGACTCATCCAATTATTCTTCACATCAAACGTACTCTTCGGACACCTCTTCATACCGAAGCTCTTCACTCAAGAGTTCATCGAAATATCAGTCAAACTATAGTTCGAGTAAATATAAATCCGACTCAAAGACATCGGCGATTGGTTCAGGTTCTTCATCGTATTCCGATTCTAAACGATCGGTTCCATTGAGTTCATCGCCGACAACACCGACAACGCCTGGAGGCTCCAGAAGAAGGCAAAGTACTAAAGAGATCGCACGTAAGCTATCATTCATTTGAGTTTACTGTAGATTTCAAAGAAACAATAACTGATTTGAGATATATTTGACATACAGTCGAGAAGAATGACTTCATTGCACCGGAATTTACTGACAAATTAAAGGACTTGAAGATCAAAGACGGCGAGTCATTGACTTTGAAGGCTGTGGTGAAAGGCGACCCCGAGCCTCAGATTCAGTGGCTAAAGAATGGCAAACCATTATCTTCATCAGACATCATAGACTTGAAGTACAAGAATGGTGTGGCGAGTCTTAACATCAATGAAGTGTTTCCCGAGGATGAGGGCGACTACGAGTGCATCGCAACCAACTCTGAGGGAAAAGTATCGACAAAATGCAAATTAACTATAATTCGTGAGTCTAATACTTCCTAAAATGTTATATAATTGTAATGTTTGATTGCAATCTTCACAAAAGCAATGGAAGAGAAACCAAAGTCAGAAACGGGTCCTTCAAAACCGCCTCGAATTGTTGAACACTTAAACAGTTCATCCATTAGTGATGGACAACCCGTTACTCTCAAGTGTAACATTAAATGTAAGTTATATTCATGAATCACATGGAAATCAGTTGTATTGAATGTATTGCTAATTTTTAAGGCCAAACAAAATTTGACATCATTTGGTTGCATAACGACAAAGAGATTAAGTCGAGCCCAGACTTCCTCTATAAGACCGAAGGCGACAACTATTTGCTCGAAATTCCTGAGATATTCCCCGAAGACTCTGGTATTTACACGTGTGAGGCATTCAACGACGCCGGAGAGGCATTCAGTAGCTGTACTCTGGATGTTAATGGTAGGTCTTATCTGATGATAGATTCCTATATAAAACTACAATCAAATTCTTTGAATACTAGTGCCCAACGAAGAACCTAAAGGCCCCGGTATTAGTGTATACCCACAATCAGTGACAACCCATGAGGGCTCAAAAATCACATTCAATTTAGAGACCATTAGAAGCGCCCAAACAGGTCTTTATTGCAATTATCAAATCAATTCAATCATTGACTAACCATTGGTTGCATTTGTTTAGTCGAATGGATTAAAGACTCGAAACCAGTGGAGGAATCGAGTGGTAATCAGACGAGTAAATCGTCGGATAATGCGTTCAGTTTAACGATACCATCGGTGAGACT